AGCTCTTATCTTCACAAGGTGGAAAAAATGACTAAATTAGCCTGGAAAAGCAAATAGTTCCTGGCACGCGCTGCGGCCCGTTGACGACCGCCCTAATCAACTGCCCGGATGACGAGGTTACACGTATGCAGGTCTTATGAAACAATGATTGGACTGGCACCCGAAAAACCTTTTGCCTTCTGTGTTCGCAATTTCGTATAAAGACAGCCACCGCGCTCAACCAGTCCATGGAGTCCACTATGTTCAAGTTGTCTAGTCAGCAATCTCTGGATTGTCCCACTTTCACAGTAAGGCTGCGTTTATACTTTGCGGCAGCGTAGCGCTTCCAGCGTTTCACTAGCGTTTCGCTAGCGTTTGCCAGCGGCGGGCTAGAGAGTATAGAAGAGTAGGAGAGTACAAAATACTCGGCGGCGCTAGAGAGTATAGAAGAGTAGGAGAGTACAAAATACTCGGCGGCGCTAGAGAGTATAGAAGAGTAGGAGAGTACAGAATACTCTCCTACTATCCCATAGTCTCTACTCCCTGCCGCTGCAAGCGCTAGCGAAACGCTAGTGAAACGCTGGGAGCGCTAGATCGATAGCTATGCTCCCGTGCCCTCGCTACGCTAGCGTACGCTGGTGACGCTGGGAACGCTAGATCGATATCTATCCTTTCCCCGACACTGCCGCTGGCGTACGCTGGAAGCGCTACGCTACGCTGCCGCAAAGTATAAACGCAGCCTAAGTAATGAAGTCGGTGCGGACCTCATGAGTGGCAGCTTTGACTCCTTAGCTGCCCCGCTCACCAAAATTCAAAGAGTATTTTCAGTCTTTTTTCAGTCTCGAGTTCAGTTTTTACTCCGTGTTTTTCAAATCTGAACATTGTTAGCATTGTACGATGAGAGGAAGTGGAGTGAGCCAGACGCGGCAAAGTATCGCTTTGCTGGTATAAAACGAGCAGATCCGCAAAACTCGTGCAATGAGGCTGCCGGTGGTCCTTGCTCAGGATGTTTTTTATGATTTGTTTTGCATTTCCCCTCCCATGTAGTTTCCCTTAGCGACTACACTTTTGCAACTGAAGCCACTGTCCACAATATAAAATCGCGGGGTCTTTGGGGCAACTGTTAGACGAGATTGAAAGACACTGCTAATTCTCGAGAAGGAGGATACCTTCCTCCAGATGGCGTTTTCTAAATTATTATTACATTAATGTTTGTTTATAAGAGCTTGCTTGCAGTTCATTGCACAAGCACGTCGTATAATCGCATCTGATGCCGTGTCGGAAGGGGTAAAGCAGGAGATCTTTGCAACTGCTATGGAGTGTATTGCCGACAGTGAGTATCAAGACTGGCTTTTTCACAAACATAACCCACTTGGCGGTTATTCTGATTTTTAGTCAAGAGGTACTATCAAGCGAAGCAGAAAGAGGAACAGTTACTGAAGATGGATGCTGGTAAGTCTCAGTTCCACATCAAGCAGAACGGTGC